GGGGGGGGGGGGGTTGGAGAGGTTTTTTTATAGCAGGAAAAGCACTACAAAGCGCTCAGTGTGAATGAGGGCTAAGAGTATCACTTGAATAAACAACAAAGGTAATTCTGATGCTTTGGGCAATAACAGTTCTTGTTAAGTACAGTATAGTTGGTCACCACATATCTAAAGCAGTGAGAACTCTATAACATTGATGTTAATTCACCTTATTGCAAGACTGCAATTATAAATGAAATGAGCTTCATCTTGCCATCAAGTGGAACATTTCCCCAGAAAACAAATACACAAAATGAATGCTGTATTTCTATACAACATCTTAGGGCTAAAATCCTCTTTGTGAAGAATAGTTTTTCCTTTAGACACTTATGAATGAATGAGGCCCAGTGAACCATGGCTAACAAAACACAATTCCTTACAAGCACAACTTAATGAGGGGACATTTTCCAAACACAGGTATATTTCCTAATACCCTGAAACGAATAACAAGCACATTGTAGTATGGATATTTGTCACTCGAACATTCTGTTACTGTTAAAGTGTATGTTCAAACAAACCTTTTTTTTTTTTTTAGAGTGAGGAAGGATTAGAATCGCTGTCAGGTTCCAAAATGTCCCTTCACTTCCTGTCCAGCTGACAACAATTTATCAGACGGGAAGTGAGAAATCTCCAACAGCAACACGTTTTTAATAAAGCAGAGCCTAGATTTGTGTTTCTGTCTGTATCCTTCACTTCCTGTCTGGTAAAAACGTCATCACTGGCAAAAAAAGGGGAGAATCTTTCTAGATAATACTAAAAACCTGACACGGGTTCTAAACTATTCTCATGCTATCCAAAAAAAATAATCGTTTTGGCTTGCCCCACTAAAAATCCTGTGGTTACATCAGTGGTGACTCACCTGATTGTCCAGATTATTCACTGTGAAGTATCCAACACACACAATGATTTCATGAAGAAGTTCCTCGCATGTGTACTGAGTGCAGAACCAAATCAGGGAGCTGATCACATGTCGGAAAGCAAGAGAAAGACCCTCTGCTCCTACAACAGACTGGCAAACAAACCAAGGCGAAAATATATTTAAAAAGTTTTACTGTGCATCAACAAATTCTGCAAAAAACTCAGAAATGTTATTTCCCTATCATATTTAAAGACACATTGGATTAATTTACACCTTGTTAACTAAGATATTACAATAAAACTTGTTTAGTTTAAAAAAAGAAATGATGAGATAACTTAGAACATATTTTAGATTAGATGAGTTCAGTTTAAAGGAAGAAAATGGATAATGACAAAACAGGATATTTCCTGCTACTGTAAAAATAGCCCCACGTCTAATTTCAAAGGACTTCTAAACTCCCAAACTCTACCAAGATCTAAGCCTTTGTGAAGCAAAAGCTTAAAATGTAGCACAGTGTTTATTTAAAAGCTACCTGAGTATATAGTACAGTACATTATTGTTATCCTGTTCGACAGACAAAAGCACAATGTGAGTCATAGGTGATCAGAATAACAATATTTAGTACTTCAGTCTATGCCATACAATGTATCTAGTCTGACACCTCCATGAATCAGAGAGTGACATAAGCGGACAGGTGTGTGGACAATAGTTACAGCATCTCAGGTAACAGGAGTGATAATTGATACTGCACCACTAGAATAAGAAGAAGGGTACTTAAACATTCTAATGAATACACAAACAGCTCCTGAGCAGGGAATCTAGGGAACTATTACATATGTACATTTTAATCACTATCCTGCACATTTCAGGGTAGCTTTATACAGTCACATGTAAAGTAATACCTGAAAGGACTGGAGGTGAAGTGTAGCAAAGCTGTTAAGAAACCGAAGGCCGTGTATTGCCACTTGGATAGTGTTCTGCTCATACGTTTCTTTGGAGTTGGAAACACTTGGCTCAGAGGAGGAATTATTAAATAAAGCACAGTATAACATATGTAAGACGCCCACAAGATCTGAATTTTGTAGTACTGCAGAGAGTCCTGAAGGATCCTGAGAACTTTCAAATATGTCCCACGAGCTGAAATAAAGCAGACAGACAATTCATTGCCAGTTAAGAAAACACACATTTCTACAAAACTAACTAATATAAGAGCTCTTGAATAAGAGTTTAGGAAGAAACATACAATATACATTGTCAAGATGTGGATGAGTCTCCAATGTATTGTGGAAATTTACAGTTACAATAATCTTAAAAGAAAACCTGTCACCAACAGAACAAAAACCTAGAATGAGTTTAAAAAAAGGAAATGGTGTAATAAATTATGTTTGGACAGGTACAAGTATCAGAAGGGAGTACATAATAAGCATTCAGTTGCTCCTTTCATTTCTCTGGGGCGGTGTTGAAGAATGCATTTGGCTGTATATGCAGCAAGAAGGCACCATTCACACCTATATCTTAGGTGCGATTAGGGATTCCTGCGTCAGGAACTTGATTTCAGGCAGCAAGAATCCCTTAAGGAACCTTAATTTAACCACACTGAGTGGGGCAAAAACATATCTAATAAAAAAAAAAAAAAAAATCACATTTTTTTTACAGTTATCATGGGCTGTAACATAGAAATGAACAAAACATACAGTATAACGTTAGCCGTCATAAAAGCTTAAACGAAGAACTGAATGATCACAGCAAAGCCACAGGAATTCTTGTAATCTCTTCATTGTTACACAGTCCACGAAGCCTATGTATTCATATCTTTGAATTGTTCAAAGACTTTGTCACAAGACTCCATCTGGTTATATTATACACATGGAATGTGGTGATGATAGCTGTCAATGTTATACTTTTATTCTCAACATGTTTTTAAACAGGCATCTTTTGTAAATTAATAGGTAAATGCAAAATTGTGAAGCAAGAACTAAATCACTTAGGTATAAATATGGCCTCATATTACTTAATCAAGTACTAAGAATTTTCTTGGTTTCTTTAAAAAAATGTTATATTGTGTATTCTGGGAACATATGCTGCAAACTCTGAAGAGAAAACAATGGACCACAATCTTCAACAGATTTCCAACTGTGGGTGGCCACAAGCTTAACGAGAAACTACAATAATCTGGGGACAATTTTTGTTTTTTACGTTTATATCTATTTACGGTATAAAATGTTTATTTTTCAATAAACATTTTATTCAGGGTGCAGGATTTGTAGAACTATATTTTTTTTCTAAAGAAAAAGCACAGTTGAAGCATTTACAAATGTCTACTTGAAACACTGTATAAAGTCAAAAGCAGCGATCTGAGGCGGTGAGTGAGTTGTTCATATTCAATTGTGTATGTAATCTCAATTTCAACTGCTGAGCTCTGTAAAGAATAAGCTGTGACTAATTAAAAAAAAAAAAATTAAGTAGTATTAAACCCTCTTAAAAACAACTGTCAGGGTTATTCAGAAAAGGGTGAAGAGTTTGGAGAAGTGAACAATCTAGGACAACATAGCTAAATTGGAAAGAGAGCTGAATTGGAGAATCTTTCCAAATCAGCTATGTTGTCCTAGATTGTTCACTTCTCCTGTCTTCTCCAAACTCTTCACCCTTTTGTGACTAACCCTGTATGTATTCAAATGTTATTAATATTGTTAATGCATAGTTCATTTTTCAAATATTAAATTTGCTAACAGCTATTTAACTTATTGTGAATGTCTCCGCTGTCTCTTCTGGACCTGCAACACTGCCTCACTTTTGGTAGGAATCTCTCCCGTGTTCGATGCATGGAAAACATGTCCCATAATGCACTGTGCTCAATATGCAAATGCACATGTGTGAGTACATGTATTTGTGCACATTCAATGACAGACAAAAATGCCAGTCACAGACATGTGGATGGGGAGGTGGGCAGATCTCCACATTGTGCCGCCTGTGCATGTCAGTGCACAGTGGCTGCATGTCGCTGAGTAGTCTCAGTAGAGTTGTGTGCACACTCCAGTGGGTTTATAGAGAGTTGGCCAATAAAAGGAGCCACCATAGAAATGGGCATCTGAAAAAAAACAATAACATTCCTATACTAAAAACGAAGTCAGTGGGAGAATAGAAAGAAAGTAATGCTCTGTGATATTCAAAACAATTGGATGATTCTCCATGTCCAACATGGAAGAAAGCAAAAGGTATAAATTATGGGTGACTGCTTGTTAGAAACTCAATCAAGGCATCTAGAAGTGAAAATTACTCTTTCCAGACACTATACATACACACGTATAATTTTATAGAGGTGTGAGTTTAGGAGCGATTGCATGATCACTGGTATTTCAGGGTCAGACATAGGTGAGATGCTTAGGCTTCTAGCCTTGCCCAAGCAGGCAGTGACATGGCTGGTTTAACACTAAACACTTGGAAAACGCAGGAATATACTGTATACAAATTAAAGGCGTATAAGTCTATAATACATGAACTATAACATATGTATAAGCCCAGACCAGCTGTGACATGCTTTTCCATTAACATTATTTGCTTAATATTGCAAAACATGCCTCAGCAAAGCACAACTTTTACCAAAATATTGCTTTTTGGCTTAAAACACAGCATTTTCCCTTCATATAGAATCTGATCTCCAGAAATTACCGCATGGGCTAATGGTATGAGGAGAACTGAAACCACACATCCAAAGTGTTCCTGACAATCCCAATGTTTTAGTTAGGTTAGTGAAACCATGTTTACATTTAGGGGTTGATAGTAAATTTGGGAGGTTCCTGATGTCTCCTACTGGTTTGGGACGTCACTTCTAATTACATAAAGCCTTAGGAAGCAGAATAAGAAAATGAAAGGGTCTATTCAAGGAATGCAGACAAAAAAAAAAGAGAAAGAAAGAAGGTGATCTGATCTAATGATGTTATAATGGTGATACAGATATTTTACTTTCTGTGTTTCTAGTAAATGTTTGTATACATTTTTAGATGAAATCTAATCAGTGTCAGTTTCTGGATTTGCTGTGCAATCAATACAGGCTAAAAAAAAACTTTACAAAAAACTAGAACTGGGCAATATTATTTGGTTTAGATGTCACATATGTGCACACACAAAACAACAGAATGCAGCATGACTAATAGATGTGTAGACGTATGACTAGAACGGTCTACCCTCCATATACATCTGGCAGCATTTTAACTGCTCATGATATAAATTAGGGTTTCACTGCACAAACTATTCACTAGCCATTTATTAAGCAATATCCTTATCACAAAAATATTTAAATATTATCTTCTCTGCATACAGGGGTATATATTTGCTGTAAGTGAAAACTGGGCTACTGCTCTATACATAAATCCCTTTTACACCCTTTTGTTACCACACCCCTAATATATCAAATCAAGCAGTAAAGAAAAAGCGGGGCTTTTTAGGTACCAAGTGACAAAACCAAGATATTACAACATAATAAAACAGAACTTCTTTATTATATAAAGATCAAAAATATTTAAAAACATGATTAATATGTGCACATTTCATGGTAATAAACCCAATCACATCTAAAAAAGAAATCAATGCATAATTGATGTCTGAATGTATGTGGACAGCTGCAGTACTATTGCTACTATTACCTTCAATGCAGAATTAATCAGATATAAATAATGTAATGTAAGATAGTGAATATTTCAATTTTGTTAAAGCTGTATTAGTACAGATGGTGCATAATAAAATCTAAAACCACTGGGTTTCCAAATCAGGCTTTATGCTGGCTTTCTGTTCATTCAGGAAAAGCCATAAAGTCCAGGTGACTGATCAACCTCGATCAACATAGGGACCCTGACACTCAGTAAGAAACACAGACTGCAGTATTCATCTATTTGTGCAATGAAAATCTCAAACTGCCACAAAATAACCCAAATGTGACATTTCTGTGTGTTATTTAAGGATTCACAACAGGGATAATATACCCATTATCAGCTGCTGGATAGTCACTTCTACACTACCAGCTCACCTTGGCTCTCACATTCATTTGTACAGAGCTTGCAGTTGAGCCTGTGTAGTGGAGTATAAGTGTCGGACGAAAACTGGATGCTAACACTGCCCAAAGCAGCAGTGAGCTGAGCAGTGTAAAGTAGGAGTGTGCTGCATCTGCAGTATGATTTTTAGTAAAATAGCTAAGGGGAACCAATACAGGGTTTTTCATACAAAGGCCCACCTGTACTTTAAAGAAGAATTATGTTGTGAAACTTGAAAGCATCCAATTACATTTCCAATTTAAGCAGTGCAATTTAATTAAACTAAATACATTTGACTTCACATCGACATTTCTTTAAAAAACTAAATCAGTCATATTCAATGGATATGTGCACTGTTATTAACACTTCATAAACGTAAATGCTAATTGCTTGCCATTAATGCTGATCCTTTGGCCTAATACTCTGAGTCACTAATCCAAAACAGGTATGCACATAAGGGATTCTGACTTTCCTGATTTGCCAAGTCAGTGACACAAAAAGATTATAATGCAGGTATGGAAGCTAGTGGGTCAGGCAAATAGCTAGGCAACTAGAATATTAAGAAAGAGGTCAGCAATGGCAGCCTGTACTTTTCTCTCAGGATATTGTTTTTAAGGAAAGGGCACTTATTTAGTAAAGTTGGAAACTTTCTTTAATATACACTACAGTCATATTAAAAAAATATCATTCATTGAAATTACACATAAGAGCCGGACACAACAAAAAAGTATTAGAGACATAACAGAAAGAAGAGTGTGGGAGAAGATCCTTACTTGCCAGACACAGAAATACACAGCCTGCACAGTTCATGTAGCAAAGCAGTGGCCGCCTGCAGGAACAAAGATATTTTGGGATTTTCATCGAGTGGACCTTGTACAGAAAGAAAGCAGCTGGATAGCTTGTCAATCAGACCAATATTAACAGTGTAGCTGGAGAAACAAAACAGAACAAGCAAGCATCAGGATCATTGTTTTGAACATGCACAAATAATCAATACAACAATAAAATATAAAAGCAGTATTAATATTAATGACAACAATGTCATAACCTGACAGATGCACACACCTGATGATGTCCTGGATGCGTCCATTGAAAGCATCATTTGGAGACATCTTGGTTTTGGCTTCAGGCTTTGTTTTGAGGGCTTCTTTCTGTCCACATCCAGCTGGAGAACTTGCTGTTAGACATGAGAATATTTTACAGCATAGCTGGAGGAGTCCTGTGGTCAGACTATCAAAGGTCTGCTTGTTAACACTTTTTCCTTGGCAGGTCTTGTCATCATCTGGGACAAATAACTAGAACACAAACAAAAATGTTACCATTTTTGTGTGCAGTCCACAATATTACACAAATCAATCGTCTCCAAAATGATACTAAGTTTAATTGTAATTAAGACACACTGATTTGTTATTTCTTATTACATCTAATTAACTATGCAACTAATGGGATTTTTGACTTACTGTAAAATTATTTTCTAGGATTACATTTAGGGACACAGGAAAAGTATTCAGCTATATTGAGGTTATGGTACTGCCTTCAGGAGATTGGACTATGGTAAAACAAAGCTTTAAGAACAGCCCTGTATAACCCATCTTACTCCCAGCTCTCCTCAGTTTTTTTGGGAAGCAACAGTAGTAGTAGATCATGAGAAGAGAAGAGAAGAGAGGGACCTGTGCACTCAAGGAAAGGATTGCCCAGTAAGCCAAAAATATGTTTTTCTTAATTGTACATTATGGGACACAGGATGAATATTCAGGTACTTTGGGATGTCCAAAAGCAGTACAACTATGGGGTGGGCAACAGAGCAAGCAGAGACTAAGGGGCCCAAACAATAAAACAACAACAACAGGTTAATAGAGGTGGCTCAACAAAGCCTACAGTGCCGTCTGAAGAACCTCATGACTGAAGCCAGCATCAGCTGAGGCCTGAACATCAACCTGGTAAAACCAAATGAGCCTGTGAGCAGAAGACCAGAAGGCAGCCCTGCAAATCTGAGAAACAGATGCCCTATGCTGAAAACCCCATTATCTAATGGAGTGCACTTTGACCAGGAAAGGGGAAACTTTTAGGGTCTTAAGCCTAAATGATGAACTGTTGAATTAAACTATCGATAATGGTACAAGAAGCAGAGTTTTCCCTAAAGGAACCTGCAGGAATGTCAAACAGAGAATCAGACTGCTGAAAGGGAGCTGTAGCTGAGTGAACAGCATGTACCACTTCAAGACAAAGGAGGGAAATCTCCCTAGAATGTTTAGAAGAAGGCCAAAGAGATGCTAGTGCAATGTCTTGGTTAAGGTGAATGGATGAAACCACCCTGAGAAGAAAAGAGGCCCCGAGCCTTAAAAAACAACCTTGCAGCCTACCCATGTAGCACTAGAAAGGGTCCCTTACATGTTAAGATTGCCAACTCAGAAACGTGCTTGATGAGTGATGGCGATGAGAAAACCGATAGAACCAAGCTGAGATTCCATGGAGTCTCTGGGGAATGTACAGAAGAAACAATATGAGCAACACCCTGTATAAAGGCTTTAACTAAGGCGTGTGAAGCAAGTAGTCTCTAAAAAAGAACCACTAAGGCTGAGATTTAAAACCTTGATGGTACTCAGGGCCAAACGCTGATCTAGACCAGACTGGACAAAAGAGAGGATTCATTCCATGGAGAACTTCCTGAGATGGAAATATGCTTTCTAAGTGCACAGGTAGACTTTAAAAGAAGCCAATTTTCTAGCTTTCAAGAGCTTAGGAAAGACCAAATCTGACAAGCCTTCTTCCCTCAGGGCCTGGGTTACCACATCCAGGCCACTGAGTGAGACGTGAGATAGCAAACTGACCCTGGCACAGAACATCTGGACAATCTGGGAGGGTTCATGGATAATCTACCAGGAGCCTGATAAGGACCATGTAACATGTCCTCCAGGGCCAGTTCTGTGAAATGAGAAGCACCAGAATGCTCTCCTCAATTCTGCAGAGTAGGTTTGGAAGAAGCTTCAGAAAAGGAAAAATATAGAACAAGTTGAATTGATAACACAAAGTTACTACAGCACTCACTTTGAAGGCTATAGTATCCCCGAATCTAGAGACAAACCTCAATTTGTTGTTGGACCTGGAAGTCCAGACATTGACAACTGAGGAAGTCTGCCTGCCAGTTTTCTACACCTGGAAAGTGCATGGCAGTCCAGGCTGAATGTAAAGCCTTGTCCAAGGCAGAATCAAATCCACTTATCTTTGAACTTTGAGGCTTCTGGTGTCTCCCTTATGTTTGATGCAAGCCACTGTCAAGGCATTGTCTCAAAGAATCCTGGTCGAAAGACTTCACAGACAAGAGGTCCAGTATTGAAAGGATAACAGAAATCGCCCTGAGCTCAAGAATAACCACATTGTTGACTGTTTACTCAGAAGAAGGTCATCCAGGGATTCACTGAGAGCAAAGCAGAGCGAGAACAGAGGCTAGCATCTTGGTGAAGACTCAAGGTTCAGTGGACAGACCAAGGGGTAATGTTGCATGCTCACAGCAAAACGCAGGTAACGCTGATAAAGGAGAGCAATGACTGACCAGGCAGATTCTATATGGGATTTTGTACTCAGAGGAAGGTGTTGAGAACCTTTAGATCCAGCATGGGAAGAATGCCCCCTTTGGTTTTGGGGACAGTGAACTGGTTTGAATAACAACTTTGAAACCTCTCCTTTTCTGGGACAATGGCTATGGCCCCTTAAAGTAGGAGATGTTTGAGCAACGTGAAGATCCACCAATCTTTGCAGGGATGTTGGCAACTTGAAAACATAAAGAAGGGTGGAAACAGAAATTAAAGTTTGTAGTCCTGGGATACAACGTTCTGGATCCAAACGTCGGACATGTCCTGGGACCAGATGGCCAAGGCCAACAGATGTTCCGCCCTCCCCGACCAGTGGGGCTACCCCCTTATTTAGAGAAGTACTTGCGCACAGATGAGAGAACTGAATTTGAAGCTTTGCCTTGGACCTAGGCATCAGGAATGAGCTTCTAAGGACGCTAGTAAAAAACTGAGGAATACTGGGAATGGGAGCATGTGTCCTCATCCTGTGTGTAATGCATGATTAAGAAATCATGTTTTAGCGCTACCTTTTTTTTTTCCATGTGCACAAATAACTGTCAAACAGCATAAATATGAAGACTGTTTACATTCAGCGTGTCTACATTCTGAACCATAGAAAGCCACATAACCCAGACTAGGGATACAAACAAGAATGGCATTATGCTTTTCACAACTGCTAACTGCAATCACATTTAAAAGGGAATAGGAAAGTTGAGCTATATATATGTGGGGACTGCCTTCTTCCAGCAGTTTGTAATCTGCTTGCTCAGTGATTACAGAAGTGTAGTGGAGTATGGAAATCTTTGCTGATGTTTGGTTGCAGTCAAGACATTACATCAAACTGGTGTATACAGCAGATGCCTTCCTTGTTGTTTGCAGACATGTTCTGCAAACATGTTGTTCCCTATACCATAAAATGCAGATCGGTTTGCTGTAAACAAACCAATGTTTACATGTGGCCAGGACCTGTGATAACTGCTCTCAAAGCCCAACTCCAGTTTTGGATAGACTTGGGAAGAGTAAATAATTTTTTACATTTATATTGCTTTCAACAACCCTCTCAGGAAGATTTTTATCTTCCTCTCTGTCCCTGTGACGGCCTGTAGCAGCAGAACAGATAAGAGGAGCAGATCTCACTGGGACAGGAGGACACAGACAGTAATAGTAATTTAATAGAAGTTGTACTCCTTCCCCAATTTACTGAAAGAAGAATTCCCTTTATACCCTCTGGAGAGAATTCACACCACTACCTGTGTTAACAAGAAGTTAGAAGAAATCTTTCATGTGAGGTCACAGACTAAAGTAATACACCTGACAGGTGTTCTATCACTTCCTTAGGAAAAAAAAAAGATTTGGCTGGAATAGGGCTTTAAAGCAAGGAAATAAAAGGCAGAGGTGAGGGGTAATGTCTTTAAAATTGCTTGGTGTCCCTAAAGATATTAAAAAAGATCATGTGCATGGCAGCCAGCTGATCTAACATATGCTTTTTACTAAACATTAAGACTGGAAATATCAGAACACATTACAGTGAAATATACCAACTCATGAATTAATATACCCCGGGAAAAGGGAAGATACTGTTTTTACCATATGCTTTATGTATCATTTCTTGCTAATAGATATAAAATACTTAAAACAATGAAAGAATACATTCACATAAACCCCCTTCTGCTATATCACCCTTCTACACTAAAACGTATTTTGAGAGCAGAAGCTTTACTCTGCATACTGAAATGTCATAATGTATATATGCATTTTGATTTACTACACCAGAAAATAAAACGAGTCAAAAAAAGAAAATAATTGATAAAACTTTGTTCTTTAACAGTTCGTTCACACAGTTGATACAGTTCAAGCTGATCTCATTTAAAGCACATTTACTGTGGGGGAACTACTCTGACAGTTGATGCAGTGCATTTATGTATAGCATGTTGTTAAATAACTGTATTTAGATTTTGTTCTTAGCACATGTCTGCATGTCAGTTCTACAAGCAATACACCCATGATCTGTTGGGTAATTAATCATGTATGTTGGTCACACGTGATCAGACAAAGGAACAGTCTAAGTAACACTTACAATTTTTGCCAAGCTCAAGGGCTGTTTCTGAATCATTTGTCTGGATAAACTGCATATTTCACCAAGCCTATATACTTAATTAGATTAGCAATTCTGGGGATACAATCTAGGTTGTGGTTTATGTTTTAGTTAAATAAGGCATTATATATATATACAGTAAAAGTAAAGTAGACATAACTACCACGAAAATAGTTATATTTAGAAATATAGAGAATATAGCAGAAATTGTATTAGATTTATGCTTGTCTGGATTATATGAAACAACTATATTTGACTTTCAAATCAAATAAAAGCCTAAGCTACCATATATGATACCGCTGCTTCCCTTAGCTGGAAAGTATTGAAAGCCAAGTATGGTCTATAGGTCATTGGGACAACATTTTATAGAGAATAAAATGACCACTGTTAGGCAGAATAGGAGCAACTTTCTCTCTAAGGCTGTCTTTGGATATTACAGGTGAAACTCGAATAATTAGAATATCGTGCAAAAGTAATTGCAGTAAGTGCTGCAAAAGGGGCCCAAACCAAGTACTGAGTACACATGCATGCTTGTACTTTTCAGAGGTCCGATATTGTTCTATGTACAATCCTTGTTTTATTGATTGCATGTAATAATCTACTTTTTTGAGGTTGTGGATTTGGGGTT